GTACTGAGGAATCCAACCCAGGGCTTCATGCATGCTAGGCAAGCACTCTAGACCACTAAGCCACATTCCCAGCCCTAGAGGTGTGAGAGATAGAACTAAACATGAAATGCGTTTGAGATATATGTATATATTCCTCCCATAGCCAAAAGCATGCAACTGACACAGTATTTTCAGGGTACCTGCACTGTCCTGTCCTATGAGGACAAGTATGGAATTTTCCATTTGTCCTACCATGTCAGTACACAAAGCAAAAGGATTCTGATTTTGGAGCATTTCATATTTTGGAGCATTTCAAGTTTCAAATTAGGTATTTCTAACCTGTAGTGACAATTTCAAGAGGATCCCAAATAAAAATCTTAAGCATTTCAAGTTTAAAAATTATTCAAGCTAGGTACCAGTAGCTCACCCTGTAATCCTTAGCTACTCAGCAGGTTGAGATCTGAGGATCCTGGTTCAAAGCCAGACCAGGCAGGATAGTCAGTGAGACCCTGACCTCCAATTAACTACCAGATGCTAAGGGGCCCTCGGGCACTAAGCTAAAGCCCCAGGACTGGCACACGACACACAAAAACCAACAACAGTAAAAAATGATTCAACAAGGCACAGAAGCTATTTAAACCTGCATTTCCCTTAGGCAGCCCTCCAAAGATTAATCCCTACCTAAGCAAGAAGCAACTTTCTCCCGTCTGATTAAGTTTCCTTATGACATTTCCTATGTGCTGGCATTCACCCAAGTTTATCTAAATGAAACTTCTGGAAGGCAGTTTTGTTCATAAAGTCAGCTTCACATGTATTGATAAACCAGCCATTATTGTATCCAAGACGATCTCGAATCACATCACCAAATTATTTTTACATGCTACTTCCATTAGCCTGAGGTGTACAATCAAATAAGAGACTTGTATATCTGAATAGAGCTTTGGGAGCATTAAGTCAATGCGCAAGTAACACAATCCAAGCCTGAGTTGTAAGCTTGTTGTAAGGTGAAACACAGCTAGTGAAGCAATGGAGCAAAGTTCACAGCTAGTAATAAAAGCCATTGGCGTGGGGCTGTGGTGGCTCAGGTCGCAGAGCACCTGTTTCTATCTGAGTTCAAATCCCAGTAACCAACTCTCACACCTACATTCTACTCCTTTCAGTTTCTGTCTGCTTATGCACACATTACACACACATAGGTGCTAGAGGAAACACCTCAGTGTGATGCCTTCCTACATTTTCTTTTTTGTTGTTGTCTGGCAGGGTCCCACTATGTAATTGGGTCTGGCCTTGAACTTACTACATAGCCCAGAATGGCTGGGAACTCAAGATCCTCCTGCCTGCATCGATCTTGCAGGTGTTTAAACTACAGGTGTCCACCACCAGGCCCAGTCCTGAACAACTTTATAATACCTAACAGTTCTGACAAGATGGTAAACTCTGACTGTCTTGCTTGTCTGTTTACTATCTGCCATCCACAAGGCAGTAGCATGGGAACAGGTGTTCTGGATGTCATCTGAATGGTCACTAGAGGTGGCCTGGGCTGGAGCTAGACCTTAAAGGCTGAGGATTCTAAGTAATGAGATAAAAAATAAAGCCATTTCCTTCAGATGGAAAACTCAAGTGTTCGAATTTAAAAAGAAACAAACAATAAAGGGTACCCCCAAACAAAGTACAGTTTTTATCCCATGGGGATAAAAACAAGCATGAAACCCTTCTGCCAAGAGTAACTCCTTCAGAAGCCGTTAGTGAAAGGCACCGACGCCAGGCAGGCGAGACACCACCAGCAGTCCTGGTCTTTAGGCTGCGCACCTAATCCACCGGGGGTAAGACTTCCTCCCCCCCCCCCCCCCCCC